CGTTCATTTAAGTTTTTAACAGTATAAAATGTAGTCATAGAGTGAATTTAATACAATAATAATCGGTTTTGGTACATTTTTTAAAAAGTTGTAATTTTTTATGAATACAGTTAAACAAATAGTTAAAAATAATTAAATAAAGTTATTAGTTTACATTTTTAGATTAATTAAGTGTTGCTATGGGTAAAATATCTTTAATAGAGAGACAGAAAGTTATTGTGCTTCACGAAGAAGGTTATTCGCAGCGCCAAATTTCTTCCAAAACAGGGTATTCGAAGACTGCTATTAGAGAAATCATTAAAAAGTTTAGAGAAACTGGCTCCCTTCGAAATAGAAAGAAAAGTGGCAGACCTCCTAAGCTAACAAAAGATGACAATAAATATTTAAAAACCCTTTCTTTAAGAAACAGGAAAAAAACATCCACCGAATTGGCAAAGGACATTAATACAGCAACAGGGAAAAATGTTAGCTCTTCTTGTATTCGACGACACCTACTCAAATCAGGATTACGAGGCTGCGTTGCTATTCGAAAACCTTTATTACGGCGTGGCAATAGAGAAAAACGACTTAAATATGCAAAACAACACAAAGATTGGACCCAGGAAATGTTTAATCGGGTTCTATACACTGATGAGTCCAAATTTGAAATTTTTGGAACGAAAAGACGTCAATATGTTCGAAGAAGAATAGGAGAAGCCTATCAGCCCGAGTGTTTAAACCCTACTATTAAACACGGAGGAGGCTCTTTACAAGTTTGGGGCTGTTTATCATCATCTGGGGTAGGTGATCTGATCAAAATAGAGGGACCACTCACCGGGGAACGTTATGTGGATATTCTAAGACAGCATGCTATACCATCCGGAATGAGACTAATAGGCCATAATTTTATTCTGCAGCAGGACAATGACCCAAAACATTGTTCCCGAGTGGCAAAAAATTATTTAAATGAAATGGCAGAAGAAGGAATACTGGAAATGATGACCTGGCCTCCCCAGAGTCCAGATTTGAATATAATCGAGCATATTTGGGATTACTTGGACAGGAAAAAGGTCGAACATGCTCCCCGAAATGCTGAAGAATGTTTTCAACTACTTCAAAAAGAATGGCACAACATACCGCAGGATTTTATAACAAATTTGTATGAGTCTATTTCCCGGCGAATATCGGCTGTGATTAAGGCAAAAGGAGGACATAGTAAATATTAAGGGTTTTTTTATGAAGTGTGACATTAAAAAGTTTGTTATTGTTCCATATTTTGTGTGAAATATATGTATTTTAATAATTTTATAATATAGAATTCAAAACTTAAATATTAAGGAAGAATTCTCTTGGATTTTTTGAGAAAATGTAAGTGGTCTAAAACATATTCACAGTACTGTATATATACATATAATTGTTATTGAGAATACTTAAAATTAAAATATACTGACTGACATTGCATCATTTTTTAAGCACAATTGTTCATAACGCCTGCATTTTTTGTTAAATTAAAAATATTTGATGTTATTAAATATTGTTTTATGTTTTTGATAAACATCTAAGTTTATTTCATAATCAGTTTTTATTTTTTGTCATAATAATTTGTACCAGTTATCTATAAAAACTATAATTTAATTTAATAGTTTTTTGTTTTCAATATTGTTTTCTTGAAAGTTTTAATAAAGTTGGTTAAAATTTTTATTTAATAATTTTTTTCCAGTATTGACATTTCTAAATTAATGAGTTAAATTGTAGATGTTTATATATCATATATATTTTATATTTTGCTTTACAAAAGAAACTTTGCTTACTTTTTTGTTGAATAGTTTTATTAAATTGTTTCATAGATTAGAAACAAAATAAGATATAACATTGTGATTTTCTTTTTATTACCAAATAATATATTTGTTATTAAGATTGCAGGTTTATGTTAATTTTTTTTTATTTAGATTGAATTTTTTATTTTTTTATTATTTTACAGATATGTTTTTGAAAATATGTTTTTAACAACTTTAGAACATTGTTTCTACACATTTAAATTTAATTCAATTTAAATATTAAATTTAGTTTTCTTTTTAAAAAATTTTATTTAAATAATGGTGATTTATGAAAGTTACTTATTTTTTTCTTTTTCTCACTTTGGAGTAGTAAGAAATTTTATAGAAAAGATCACAATTCTTAAATTTCTTTTTTATTTATTTGTTACTACAAAAGTAGTACTACTGGTACAATGTTTAATGATAGTAGTGAAATAGAAATGGATGATATTAGGGTCAAAGAAGTTTTTATCGGAAATAGTAATAGGTGACTTAAAAACAATTGCCATCGAAATGAAAGAAACGCTGCTCAGCAAGCAGAAATTAATTTGAAATAATGATAATGCGCTTAGGTGATTTGATAATAATTGTTATTGCAATAACAAATATAAATATAAACATTGCCTATATGAGATGAAATTAATTATCGCCAAAATTTATAAAATGATTTTTGTTCATTTAGACAAGGAAAAATGCATTGTATAGCAAGAAGAGTATAATTTTTTAGGAAAAATGATCCAGATTTGTCAGCAATGTGGTGCTAAAAAAATTTGCAGATGAAACACATTTTCTATGTTGCCATAATGGAAAGGTAATTTTACCTCCGCTTTAACCATTTCCCCAAGCTTTACAAGATTTATTTACACGGAGTTATGTAGATCATAATTCCAATAAGAACTTTTTAAATATACTAGAAATTATAATGCTTGTCTTTCTTTTGCTTCCATTACAGCTAATATGGTTCAACTTATCAATCATGGGCTGCCATGTTTTGAACATGTGGTTAGGTTTCTTGTTTTGTTGGTAATCTTAGGCAAGGTCAAAATAGTCCCCCAACATATTGTCAACTGTATATCTATAACCCACAAACATGCTAATGATCTTTGCTTATGTAAGGGGCCATCCATAAAGTTTGTATCAGGTATGGGGGAGGGGGTTCCCAAAAGCATACAAATGGGTTTAAGGGGGGAGGGGGTCTTAAAGACAGTGAGTACCTACACGGTTTGATTATCTCTCCTAAACATGATTTTATTTTTTTTAAAACATTGAATTTCACTTGTGTAACAAATTAGAATTTTTTTTTTTTCTGACTTCACAATTTTTTTTTATAAATAATTATAAAAAAAAAAAATTGTAAAGTCAGAAAAATTTTTTATAAATTTTTTTATAAATAATGAGAGAAAAAAAAGAAACTGAGTTAATTTTGAAAAAAAAAAGCGTACGTACTGGAAGTAGGTACGCATTTTTAATTAGCATATAACTATAATTAGTAATGAGAAACCATTATATAAGACTATCAGAAAGAAACCATTTGTTCTTGCATTTTAAAACATAAACTTTAAATTAATTAAACCCAGTATATGTTTACATTATGTTGTTTCAATGTTTTCTAACTGTTGTGACTAGGCTATGTGTAAAGCAAGATTGTTAACTTTGCTAGCCAAGCAGTGTACTTAAAACATAGGTATGACTTAAAAAGCTTTAGTGCTAAGCAGTATTACTGCTTTAGAAATAGTTTGTGTTGTTTAGCCTTTTTAATTATTCAAGAAACACATAATGTCTCTTAATGTTTATAATAATGGTAGAAAAGATTGTGCACCCTTGATCCTAAAGGACAATTTTGGCTTTTATATTTTTTTTATTTGGTTTGTTTTTCCCCACTGAATTTAAGGATCAAGGGTTCATACTCTCCTATACTTACAAACATGTAAAGTGTCCTTACAAAATTATTGTCCTTACAAACATGTTATGTGTCCTTACAAAATAATTGTCCTTACAAACATGTTATGTGTCCTTACAAAATAATTGTCCTTACAAACATGTTATGTGTCCTTACAAAATAATTGTCCTTACAAACATGTAAAGTGTCCTTACAAATGATATGTATTATTGCTGTGTCATTTTAATGTTTTTAAAGTGATGTTGATAAACAGTTTTGCATTGATAAACAGCTTGGCATACCTTTCTGCTGGTGTCTATCAGCAGCATAAAAATGATTAATTGGTAGTTTCATTCATGGAGCTCACTGCTTTCAAAATTTATTAAGAGCTAAGACAATATATATAGCTATAAGTACAATTTGTTCATATCTTAATTTTATTTTATCTTTAGCGTTGTTCGTAATTTTGCTCTTTGCTTTTTAATAAATAACATTTAGTAAATTTTATACTTTGCTTTTTAATAAATAACATTTTGAATCCATTGTGATGTCTTTAAACTTAATTGTTTACTAAAGCCAACATAAAATAACGTAATTAAACAATACCAAAAAGAACTGCTGCATTAGGACAGCAACTACATTATCACAACAGGTTACTAAAAACAAGTAAATTGTTTTTCAGTTACTATATTTTTTTTTTTATTTTCCTTTTATATCTACTCTTTCTGTTTCAATTTTTATTTTAGGTATAGTATGCGATATATAAGAACAAAACTTACAATTATTTTGTTAATTTGTTAAAAACATATTTAATTTTAAATAAATGTGTTATTTTGTAATAAAAAAATGGGTCAGAATTTCAAAAAAATTTAAATTTCCTAAAATTTTTGTTTTAAACATACTTCTCATTAACTGTTTAATAAACAGTAATCAATTTAGTTATGTGCATTTAACTTTTTTAAGAAAACAAACAATTTTCTTTCTCAAAAAAAAATTAATAAAAAGGGATGTTAAAAAATCAATGAGCTTTCACCTTCTGTTTTACATTAGAAGTTAACTTCTTTTTAACTTAACATTAGAAGTTATTTATTAACATTATTAACATTAGAAGTTAACTTCTTATTAAAAAAATTAAATTGCGGAAAACAGATAAAGGTGAATAAAAAAGTTAAAGAAATTGAATATTAAGTTGGCAGACACCCAGTATGAATAGTAGGTGTGGAACAGACCAACCATAACCCATATTACAGGTTGCTTACTGCTAGCTATTATCATTATTATTACTATTATTATATTATCATCTTTATGCCAATAATAATCATTACCTTAAGATTACAAACATGAGCTATTATATATGTAAGGAGAGAATAACTTGCAATGTTGAATGGAATACCCAGACCCTAAAATTTAATTAATAAATAATAATTTAAATTCCTCATAAAAAACAAAAAACAAAAACATTTTTAACAGTAATTACACTACCATATCACAAGAACGCTGATACATTTGACACGATAACTCTCCATTAGCAACATAAAATTGACAAAATGAATGACACGGTGGAAGAGCCATCAGTGGTATATCTATAAACCAATTAAAATCATTTAAAAATTTTAAAACTATATAATAATTAATAGTAATGCTCAAGCTAGCAATATTTAAATGAATAAGTTAATCATCTAAATTATTACTCTTGTCTTTTTTCAAAACACATGATTGGCAACACAATTTTGGGGCTTAATGATAAGACTAAATTTGTCTTCTTCTAGCCCTGGTCATGTAATTATTTTTTTTATAAGTTACAACTGTAAATTTTTTTTATCGGCAAAAGTGTAAATAAATACCTAGCGCACAAAATAAAAGGCAATCAACGACCGTCCAAAATGATTAAAATTGCTGTTTTAACCTCCCAAAATGAATTGTTGCCAAGGGTTTAAAAAATATAATTTTTTTAAAATAAGTTTTTACTAAAAACTATAATGTGTTTTACAATCCAAAAATATTTATCTAAAATTTTTTAGACTGAATTATTTGAAAAAGCATCTAAAATCTTTTAATTGTTCAAAATTGTTAAGATTGATTGAACAATGCAACACGCTTTTGATTAACTTTGTTGATGCATAGTATTTATGACATAAGCTATATATTCATTTTTTACACATTTTTGTTTTACTTGACATTAAAATCACTGATTGCCTTTTATATATTTGATTAAAGTTCTTATTTTATTATTATTTTCTGTTGTTAATTAAAATTATTTTTTTCAAATTATTGATTTTTTTTCTCTCATTCAATTTTTGTTATTCAATTTTTTTTTATTAAACATTTTTTTATTGCCACCATTTGTAAAATCATTTGTGAAATGAATGAATGTTATTGACATTTAGCAATTTGATAAATAATTATCATTAGTGCATTATTTGTTATATTGAGTTATCAAGGGAATGATTAAAGTTAGTTATTTATATATATTTATTACTGTGGCATTTTATAAACGGTGGACTAAAGTATTAAATATTGAGTGTCAATTATTATAATTTCTTAAACTACCAGGCTAGATTTAACTTTGTATTGTTATTGTATGCTAAAATTTCTTATTTCCTAGAACTGCACTTGGTTTCTATTTAAAATAAAATCACACAAACTTATTAAAAAAATCTAAAAATTCAAAATATCTTCATGCATTGTAAAGCGTTAGGTAGTAGTTAAATAATGATAAATTTTTTAATTAAATTTTTTTAATATTTAATTAATAATTTTATAAAAGTTTAATTATGCTTTACTTTTTAAAAATGATTAGCATACTTTATCCAATCTGATTGAAGTGATTTGACATGAATAATATATTTATTAACCTAACACCTCACATTTAAGCACAAATTAATTTTTAGCATTTTTAACATTTTAGCACATATTAATTATTGGAATTAATCAACACTTTTTAAGCAGATTCTCTAAATAAGCGCTTATTTAGAGAACCAACTTTATTACATAGCATATGCAATTAATAAATTTTATTGTATAGTTTATGCAGATAATATAACAATAAACTAATATGTTATACGCAAATGTAAAAAAATCAGAAAAAAACAAAAAAAGATTTAATGCTTGGCCATGAAATTGAGCACGCGTAATTGTCAGGATGTCAGTAAAGTGGACAGCGTACTAAATTACAAGGTTACCTATTAAAAAAAAACACACCATTGTTATATCCTTTTTTAACTCATTAAAATGATTCAACACTTTTTAAGCTGGTATTCTAAATAAGTGCAACAATATTGCATAGGAGCACTGTATAGAACATTGTATAGCAGCATTAAACATATTAATTGCATAGAAATTTATAAAAGAAATATTTAAAAACCACAATATTTTATCAGAAAAAAACGCATGAATATTATAATTAAATAGAATTCTATTAATATACTATTTACTGAAAAATATTCAAGTAAATAAGGAATAAGAATGGAAATGATCATTGTGGAATAGATAGGAACTTAAATGGATGGATTTGAAAAGACTTTTATGGGTCCAGAGAGCTAAGATATAATACACAGAGAAACCAAATTGAAATACACACTAAAGATCAACTGCTTATAGGGCAACTTTAGAAGCAACATCAGGTAAATCATTAACATAGATAAGAGACAATCCAGGTTTCTGATACCCTAAAAGTTACTGGAAATGAAGAAGAGTGTTGTCCACCAAGGATAACTTTTATACTGCAATTAGAAAGAAATATCATGATTTTAAAAACTTTCCCAGATACACCATATGAAACAAGCTTATGGAGAAGTCCACCATTCAAGACTTTAACAAAAGCTTTTGATACGCCAAGAACAACACCCCATGCTTTGCCAGTTTTATTAAATGCAAAACAGAACAATTCTGTTATAACAGTTAACAAGCTGAAGAACAAGAGGATTAAAAACCATATTGGTTGTCAGAGTTATTAGATTCAAGATGAGATGTTAGAACTTTGTTGATTAAAGGCTTTACTAATAATAAATAGAAGACTTGGATTCAGATAATAATTAAAAAGGTTTTACAGATTAAAAGGTTCTAAAGGTTAAAAGTATTTTACAGAGTTTTTCAAAATTGAAACCACAGATTCAATTTTTCAGGAGGTAAAAAAATAAGATTCAGTTAAATAGTTTAGAGAGAATTGAAGAGAGGACTGAATACTTTGAACATTTTGCAACTATGAATGTTTTGCAACAAACTTTGAATGTTTTGCAACAAATACTTTTGCAAGTCTATGGCAGAAATGCTGTTTGGACCACAAGCTTTATTTATCATTTATTTATTCAACAAGGAATGTATAAGTGATAACTCAGAAATACGCCAAATATCTAACAAGGAATAAGAAATAACTGAGAAATAAGCCAAATGTCTAACAAGAAATTAACCTGCTTTACTGGGATGACAAGAAGAGTGATAGTTTAATTCAAGAGACGAATTAGAGGAAACTTTCAAAATAGCTCTTTTTCAAAATAGACTTTGCAAATAGCTCTTTATAACCTTATCCTTGGGAAAGACAATAAAGTCAGTATAAAAAGTAGAATGTTAGACTTACCTTTGTTAATGACAATGTTGAAGATTTTTCAAAAGCCTCTAGAACCTAATTTTAAGATTTATGAGATTTGGTACACTAAGAATAATGTTGCTTAGCATCAGACAGAACTTGTTTGCATTTCTTACAATAAAAAAAGATATAGCCTGCCATGTATCTTTTAGATAGAGTTTTCACTGCATTTCACTTATATACTCCCAGGTAAGTATTTTTTAAGAAAAATAGAATGTTTTTTTCTTAGTTTTTAGTAGGGGACATCCCTATAAATTATGTCATGCTAAATTTAACTTTTAAATAGAAACATAAGATCATTTGATCCCTTGCACAAAATATTCCTTTAACATAAAATGCTTTTGAACTTTAATTACTTTAAATCTTTGCGTGGAAGCCAATAATTTTAGACTTCTATTTTAAAGTTAAATTGTATGTGATGTACTTTATGGATTAAGTACATCGCACTAATTTTACCTAAAAAGTAAATTGAAAAAGCCATAAAGTAAAGTTACTAATAAATACTAAATAAGCTCAAAGACATTAACTTGCAAAAGTTAGCCGCAATAATGTTTCTATTTATATGTTATAACACATAAAAATCAGTTATTGTTTTTTTTTTTAAATAATTGTTTAACAATAATAATAAAAAAAAGAAACAATAAGTGTGATATTAGTAAAAAAATTCACTTATGAGGTTTTATACATGGATTTGATTTGCATCCTAAAACTCCTTTTTCAGCAAAAAAAAATTTTTTGTTTAGAGTAAAATTTATGTAACATTTTTAAGAAAGGTTTCCTGAGAGAACAAAAATAGTAAAAAAAAAATAGTTTAAATAGTGTTATAAAACATAACATAAAGTGTTATAAAACTAGATTTATTCAAAAAAATTCTTTAAGTGTTTTTATTATGCAAATTTCACATTTTTAAATCAATTTAAAAACTAATTAAAAACGTTAAAACAAACCATGTAATATAGAAACCATGTAAATAAAATAAATTTTCAGTAACCAATCATTGACATTGTGTAAAAAAATTGTTTTAAAGAAATCTATTACATGTAGCAATGTGTACCATGTGACATAACTATAGTATAAAATAAATCTTAAAGAGATGCTAGTGCTTTTTGATAGTTAAACAAAAACTATTTTTTTAAATTAACTTAAATATAAATTATTTTAAACATGAATATTGCCTTAAATCACATGAAGGATATTCATATATTTTGAAAATTATACTTAAAATATAATATTCATTTACATATAAATCAAATCAAAATAAAATTAGGAAAAATTTCAATAGTATAATTTTCAATGTATAATTAACTTTCATTTTATAAAGTACACCTAAAAATAAGATGAAGAAAACATACAATTTTTTATTATATTTTTAACTACCGTAATTTTAACTTTAAAATTAACTTTTTCAAATATATTTGCATTATTTTTATTTTATCTTTACTTACTTACCTACTGGATTCCATGCTGACATAATCATTCTTCGATCATCAGGATTTGTTTTAATTGTATGAATTATCTGTGCTAACTGGTCAATACCCTGCCCAGTATAATCAGCATGTTTGTCAACATATTTTGCTCCAAAGTGACGCCACTGAAAACCATATATTGGTCCTAAATCTCCAACTTCTCTGTGATGTAAATCTATTTTAAATAATTCAAATGATTTTAAAATAAAACATTTTATATTATAACAATAATGCCACTTTTAAAATAGACATCAAATACATTATAAAAATATATAGTTAAAAATCCAATTTAATTTTAATGACAGTGTTAAACTTACTACATTTATCTAAAAATTCTCTAGTTCCATTAGAATTCCATATCTGCACACCCTTTTGTGCAAGAATATTTCCATCAGTAGAACCACTAATAAACCATAACAACTCTTCAACAACACCTTTCCAAAATACACGTTTGGTTGTTAAAAGTGGAAATGATTCACGAAGATTGAATCGCATTTGACCACCAAATATAGAAAGTGTTCCAGTTCCTATTAAAATATAAACTTTGTGTACAAACTGTCTAAAAATAGCCATTTAAAGAAAATCTAATACTTCTTGCATGGGTCAGATATTATTTCTCCCAAGAACAACTAGATTGTTTGTAAAGAACTTTTCTATATAATTCTTGATTCTATTTATAATTCTCTATACAATTTGATCGCATTTTCAAAATTTAAAAATGAGATAAAAAAACTTACTTGAACTTATCTAAAAAAAACCATTTATTTAAATCATGTTTTTAATTACATTCGGAATAATTTTTTATCTTTATTAATGTTTAGAATATTAATAAACATTGATAAACTAAGAACAATTTACTTTTAATGATTGAATATACTGAATATATAATGATTGAATATATTGAATATATAATATAATGATTGAATAAATGATTAAATATACTCACACTTGGTTTAAATTACAGAGTTTTTTTTAATAATTTAAAAATATCAGTTTTCATGTAAATGTAAATAAGTAAGTAATTACGCATTAAAAAAACTATTTTATGCTTTGTTTATTTTTTAATTTGCTTCAAAAGATTAACATTTATCAAAAAAAACATAATTATATAAATAAAAAAAACAACAGTTCATTATTAGTTATTAAAGAAATTAATTTTGTTACTTTATTAAAAAGTGTTTCGATAATGTAAAAGCATTAAAGATCAAACTTATTTAATTGTAACGAAAACTTTTTTAGTTGTAACGCTTTCTAAAACATTTGTTTTGTTTTTTTCAACGAAATTTTGTTTATCTTTTTAAATGTATTAATTCTAATTATTCTTATATTAAAATTCATTAAAGAGAATTTGGTTGTCGTAGAAAATCATCATTTATAAATACAAAATAAATTTTTATTTTTTAATAATGTTTATTATAAAAAATGGATACTTAAATAATTTATAAAATATAAATTTAAAAAATTGTCAATTAACTTAAAAAAAATCATTATCAGTACACTGTTAATTTATTTAAAAGCATTTTGCTAATATAAAAACGTTTGTTAAGAAGTTTTGATGAAATTTATTTCACCTAAGGTATAATTCAGAATATTTTTCATTCAGCGCGTTTTTAAATTGTTTTTTGAAATAGTCGCATTCAAATCATCAAAGCAAAATGTGATTTGCCTGGTCATATAATGACGTGCAATAGTACATCTTTCTGTGAAAAACTGCATGTGTATGGCTAGGCTTTTAGTGTTTTAATTATATTCATATTAGAAGTCTTTTTTATTATATCTATAAGGTTAATTTAAAAAATCAAGATTGTTGGATAATTTAGAAAATTATAACTTGAATCTTTTTACTTTCAGCATATATTCCATAATAGTTATGCTGTCAATTTCATGTCATTATCGTCAAATGTTTTCTTGTAAACTTGAACTGAACTAATTTTTATATTTGAACTTTGTTTCGCTGAATGCTAATTCAGCAAAACAAAGTTCAAATTATTTAGCTCCTATTTTCAAAAAATTAGCCTAAACTTTGTGTTTAAGTTTGTTTGCTTTTTTTTTTTACAAATTTTGTCAAAAAAAAAAAAACAATTGTCTAAAAAAAAAACTTTTTTTATCTAAAAAAAAAAACACGACAAGGCTTTGGGCTATTTTTAGATATAAAAACACAAATAGACAATAAGAGGGCTGTTTTCTTGGTAGTAACAGATTTAAAATTTTGTTTAACCACCTTGCATAAAATATTTTAAACCCTAATATTTTATGTTGCACTTAGTCAAGAAATACAGAAGCATGTTCTTCTGAGGGAAATTTTCATTAGGTTTTTTATCAAACTTTCTATATACAGTTAATTCCCGATAACTTGAACCTCCAAGGGTACTGTTATTTATGTTTTATATGAAATGACTTCTAAAAAAAAATTTAAACACATTATTTTAATTTCTTTACTCCGCATAAAAAAATTCTAAGTAAATTAAAGGAATTTGTTGTAAGGTGATGAAAAAATAGTTTGACTATTTTTTCATCCCCTTAAGCAAAGCTCAAGTTATCCAAGGTTTGACTTAACCTTAATTTTAATATTAATCTTAATTATATGATTTCAATAGACCAAATTAAACAGTTTGAGATTCAAAAACAAAAGTTCAAGTTAGCTGGTGTTTAACTTACTGGAAAAACTGTATATCTTTCTATACAAACTCAGCTATTATATATGCCTATGTTGTGTTTTCTTATTATCATTCATTTTACTTTCATTCAATGTGACAGATAGAATTTGAGATAAATATAAAGAAAACTGTTGACAAAATTTGCTGATCATATCTGTCTCTCTCTCTTTTTATGTTAAGGTGGACCCAAGGCCCAGAAAGCCACTACAGTCAAGAAGACTACTTAAATTGTGGTTGTGACCACAATTTAAGAGACTACTTAAATTGTGGTTACAACCCTCTCTTAACTCTATGAATTCAAAACATGAATCTTGGAAACAAATCCACTAAGCAGAGAAACAAGTTGAGCGCATTAATGAAAGCGCATTAATATATATAAATGAAGAGGCTCGACGTAATTTATTTTAAGAAGTTGATAAAACTTAAAAATACCTGTTCGATCAGCTTTAGAATATCCAGTTTCAATAATTCTTTTAACCAAATTCAAATACTGGTATTCATCATGGTAAGAATCTGTGAGATCAACTTTTCTTTTCGGACTTCTTCCATTTTCATTTATTTTAGTCTTTTTAATTTCATCATCATTTGAATTATTTTCTATATTTTCTTTCTTTGGTTTCAGAATGTCTGACATTCTAGATATTATTACTACAACTAAATTATAGAAAACATAAAACATAAATATGTATTCTTAAAAGTGATACATTACACATGTCAAAAAAAAATATATTTTTTGTTGCTGAGAAAACAATTAGTTTTTTTATAGCATTTCTCATTTTGATTTCAAATATGCAACTTATTTTTCACCATCACGTCAAGTTGTAAAGATATTTGGGTTCAAATCTTTAATATTTGGCGTAAAATCCCTAATATTGTTGAAAAAAAAATATTGTCAAACTTTCTGTCGCAAAAGAAGCGTATATTCATAGAGATTTTAAAAATGTTATTCGTTTGTAATAAAAATAAGTACTTTTTGTATTATTGCTTATAGTTTTAAGAAAAAATATTTATGTTTTCTAAAAACTCTATGAAAACACGCTTCTTTTGAGATCCAGGTTGACATACTTTTGAATAAATTTTTTTCGACAATATTAGAGACTTTACGCCAAATACTAAAGATTTGAACCCAAATATCTTTACAACTTGACGTGATGGTGAAAAATGAGTTGCATATTTAAAATCAAAATGGGAAATGCTATAAAAAAACTAATTGCTTGTTCGGCAATAGAAAAAACCTGTGTTATTAATAACACTACAGCCCTCTTCAGGATTTTTTTCTGTATAAATCTTTAAAAAAAAAAAAGTGAAAAAAAAAAAGAACACTGAAAATATCAAAGAAATTTTTTTGTTATTACTTTTATCTTTGCAACATAGATTTCACTTGTCACCTACCCACATTTTCAGGTTGGGCAGCCACTCTGTACAATTAAATTCCTGGATTTTTCCTAGACTTTTAATATTTTTCCCTGACTCGGTTATATTTTAAAGTGTGAGTTTTTAAGTTTTGTTGTTTGGGAGTAAGTAAAAAAAAACTTTAAAAAAACTTAAATTTTGAAAAAGAGATTTTTTTCGCTGATTTTTGGAAAAAAAATTAAAAATCCATGATTTTTCCCTGACTAGAAAAAAAATCGCCTGACTTTTCCCTGATTTCCAGTTGGCTGGCCACTCTGATTTTGTTTGTACAGTTTGTAATCAATAGTTTTACAAAACATAAAGCGGTATACAAAGTGCTGCTAACAATATATGTGCTTGCAAAGTGCAAAAATGTATTACAAAGTGCATGCAAAAAGTTACATTATGCATCTAGCTAACTAGAAATGCCAAACATTCTAGTATTCTTCAACGTAAAAAACGTTGAATAAATTTTTATGTACTTTGCCCATTTAGCCTTAGTCTTAGGCGCATGCATTGCAGTGCAATGTTTGAAATTTGCATGCGTTTGCAAGGTGCAAAAATGCATTACAGTAAATGCAAAAAGTTGCATTACGCATCTTACAATCTCAAAATGCTAAACATTCTAGTATTCTTTAATGTAAAAAACGTTAATTAAATCGGCTACATTTTGATTTCTGTTTGTAAAGTACAGTGAAATGATTTTTTCTAAACTCATGTTCTCACAAAAAAAGAGCTTTTTTATATAGAACATCTTAGAAAAAACATATTTTTTTTCTTTTTTAGTCTGTTTTTAGCTTCATTGTTTCCAACTAAAAGTTTATTAAATTATACATAGTTAAAAGGAACCTTTTAAACATTCATTATTAAAGGAAATAAATTTTATTACAAAACATATGACGTAAAATCACAGGCAAAAAATCAAAAAAGGCGGCAAATTTAGTCCGATTTGAAGTGTCTCAAAAAGCTCGGAAAAAGATTTTTGAGGTCAGGTTGGCAAAAGAAACTATCACTCAAATGTCGCATGTAAATATGTTAGGTATAATTATGCGAAACATGCCTATTGTTATGAAATTATTTAAAGTTAAAATTGTTATGAAAATTGTTTATAAAAAGCCGCAAAAACTATTTTACTTATCTTTTTGTTACTAAATCAACTATTTAAATGAGTTAAAAAATGTTTATATAAATCTATTAAATATTGTTTTGATAAATCTATCAATACTTTATTTGAGAAAACTTTAATTTTTTTATATTATTATTGCAATATTTAGTAAACAGTTCGATTGCGCAAATTAGCCTATTTAGTCTTTTATTTTATATTATTTAATGATTTGTTAAATTAACAACTGAAAATCCTAGATAACTTTTTAAAACTATCTTTTCATTTCTAATTTTTGTGTTCCTTTAAAAGCCTCTTGATTAAAAATGTAACAACATGCATAATTATACCTCAAGCAAATACGCATAATTACAAGTGAACTTTGATCGACATTTGAATGATAGTTTCTTTCGCCAACCTTGAGATCAAAACTTTTTTCCAATGAGCAAATCCAAGGTTTCGCTTATTTAAGATCAAAGGTTTCGCTTATTTAATAAAATCCTGACTCGAATTTAATAAGTGCTTGAATATCGAATTCGTTTTTAATAGTGATAAGTTATAATAAATTTTGCTAAAATATATTAAAAATATTTATTTAATATAAAATACATAATAATTATTTTTATAATAATTATGCGCGAAACCTGGATTTGCTCATTGGAAAAAAGTATTGACCGATTTATATATATATATATATATATATATATAATATATATATATATATATATATATATATATATATATATATATATATATATATACTATATATATATATATATATATATATATATATATATATATATATATATATATATATATATATACATATATACAAGGCCGGCGCGATAGGGGGGTGGGGGGGTCACATACCCCATCAATGATTTTTAGTCGGCAAACTGGACCCTTAGTCGGCAAATTGGCACCTTTTAGACTAGTTAGTCGGCAAATGTCGACCCTTTCGATATAGGTTAGACAGTCAGCAAATGTCGTCATGGCAGTCGGCAAATTTTGGAAAACAAGGACATTTTTTTTTTTTTCTTTTTTTTTTTTTTAGTCGGCAAAAGTTGTAATGGCACCCCCCCCCCAAGTGACACCTACTCGCGCCGGCCCTATATATATATATATATATATATATATATATATATATATATATATATATATATATATATATATACATATATATATATATATATATATATATATATATATATATATATATATATATATATATATATATATATATATATATATATATATATATATATATATGTATATATATATATATATATATATATATACATATATATATATATATATATACATATATATATATGTATATATATATATATATATATATATATATATATATATATATATATATATACAGGGGCGGATCCAGGGTGTCGCGAATGATGCGCATGCATCAGTCTTTTTTCAACGCTAAATTTAAGTGTATCTCTTTTTCACTTTTTTTTCTTAATAAAAAGTAAAAGTAGAAATTGGAATCTGGCATTCACAAAAAATAAAATACTTGTTTTAAACTCGAAAAAAATTCATTTAAACTCGATTTTATTTTATCTCTATAGTTACTTATTCGTTACTTATACAAAATTCCTGCGTTTTGGAGCAACTGATGCAATTGTTCTTCATTAAATACAAATGTGATTAATTTAAAAAAAAAAAAGTACGTTTTAACCAATCATATTTGTACTTTTTCACAAATTTTTCCGATCACTTTGTAGCAACTGATGCAATTGTGCTCTAAATCATTAATGATTGGTTAAAAAACAGTTTAAACCAATCACTATTTAATAAAATAACAATTGCATCAGTTGCTACAAAACTTCCGCAAAAAACTTTACAAAAAATATAAGAAATGTTATTTATAACCAATCAAATTTGTAGAAAGTTTAGAACAATTGCATCAGTTGCTCCAAATCGTTCAAATTTTACAAAATACTGATATGCTACCAGATTAAGGTTCTTCGCTCGTAATTTTCGTCGTTGGACTTTGCTTGTAAACTAAAGTTAAAAAAAAAAATGAATTTTTTAGTCTCAAATGCAATTAAGGCTAGACATTTGCCAAATATTCGGAAATATAAAAACCAGTTGACTGAAGAATTAAAAGTTTTAAATAATGAGTCCAGTTCAGCCACATAGTCAGTATCTGAAAATACTGAAATGGATCGTTTTATCCCAAAGCAAGAAGATACTAAAGATTATGTTGCTTTAAGGTAAAACCCTATTATTAAAGTTAATGGTATTTTATATTCCTATTAGATCAATTTATCCAGATTTTGGCTTAGAAAAATTCAAAAAACTTTTTAATACAATTATTTTTCCATTTCGTTCAATTAAAAATCAAGATCAAAATGTTTTAAATATTTTATGGTGTAATACTGATATTATGTCAGTGATGCAAAATAATAATAACTGGACACCGAACCATTTTGTACCAATTATTAAAAAGCCTAAACTAATTTCTAGTAATAATAAGAATTTGGCTATAAAAAACGATGCTACTTATCCTTTAAACTTTTTTAGTCCTAAAACTGAAACAAATAAAAAAAAAAAACTTGATTCTGCAAAACATGTCAAAATTCAATCTAAAATTAACTTTAAAAAAGACAATGCTTTCATAGAGTTGCCTTTTGAACCTTCTGTAGATTCAAAAATAGTTAAGTCATTAGACTCCAACTCAGTTATTATTCCTTCATATAATGTATTAAATTCTTTGTATGATGTTTCAATATATCTTGTTCAAGGTAAACTTTTAATTGCTGGAAAAGATGATTCTATTTTGTTAGATATGGTAAACAAAGTATTTTGTCCTAATTCTATGTTTGTTTTTCCAATATCTTTTAATACAAAAAGATCATTTAAATTTGAATGGCTCAGCCAGTTTTCTTGGTTAGCTTATTTTAGCAAAGAAGATGAAGCTTACTGTCTTCCTTGTACTTTGCTAGGTGCTAGTATTCAAAATAAGTCTGGAATATTAAATTTAGTTTTCAAGCCCCATCAAGAGTGGGGTAATGCTGTTCGTGATTATAGAAAACATGAGGAAAATTGTGTTTTACATGAAAAATCTATGCTTTCATTTAATGCATTGCTTTCAAGTTGCAATTCCAAAAGTAATGTTATTGAGGTTGATTTAAATAATTCTTATTTGTAACTTCTT